AAAAAAAAATCAATAAAACACATATATATACACAATAAAAAGTATGAAATGGAAAAACAAAGTATGAAACGAAACATAGTGAGAAACAAAAACGATGGTGATATAAGAACAATAGATGCACTTAGGGTTTTAAGTAGACGCAGCTAGGGTTTTTAAAAAAAATATATATTTATGGGCCACATTTTTAGCATACGGGATCAGTTTTAATATTTGGTAGCACACAGAATAATTAAAGCCCAAATAAAAAAATTCAATCAAACCCATCTATTCTTATATCAGAAAATCGTGGCCCACTAATAGTGATGGCATGAATTTGTAATTTNAAGATTCATTAAGGNTATTTTCGGTAGACTAAGTCTTAAACTCACTCTGGAGCTGCCACATAGGATTAGCGACTTCATATATAATAGTATAGATATGATAATTCCTTACGATGATCATAAAGAATAAAACCGACGTTATAAAATCACGAATTCATAATCTTAATGTAAAAATAATTAAAAGCCTCATTAGTCATTACAATCTCTCTGACCTTATTCCTTGCATACACTAATTTTCTATGCATGTTTTTTTTTTAAATATAATATAAATTATATCAAATCCCTCAATGGCACATTGGTTTGGCTCAACCAAAGTTAACATCGTACTTAGGCTGCTTGTTCGGATGAAACAAACCCCAAAACTTCTCAACATCAGGAGGAGTCGGCTTCACATTTTCATCATACATAGCAAATAGATAAGTCTCGATTTCTTTCCCTGGTCTCTTCGGTGTCCCATTCTTCACATGACTAATCAAATTATTGTTATAAATCCTCGCATTCTCCATATTCGTTTCGATTCCTCCTGCCGTTGGCCATCCAGTCTCGGACACAACAACTTCCAAAGATTCACCACCGGATCTCTCTAGAGCCGAGTACACCGCGTCGAGCATTGCATCAAATAGGTTCTGGTAAGATCTTGGAGGGTCCGAGACGGTTCCTGGAGAAGCCGTGAAGAGAGCGTAATCGAGTCCGATTTGGTCTCGATTACCCGCGTAGCTGAAGTAAGTGTAGAGGTTTAAGTGTAAAGGAGATTTCTTGTTTACCAAGAAACGTATGATTGGTTCCATAAGCACCATTACTTTTCCTGTAAACGAACCACTCGAAGGAGGGTAAGATTTTTCGAGCACTCCCATGTCTACAGCCGTCGATACCTATTAAGAATCAAGCATTTAAAATAAATAAATCAAAGATTGATTATTTCAACGTTATGATTTTATAAAAAAAAGTAGAATATTTCCAAAATAATTTTGTAAAATATAAACATAAAAGCCTTACACAAACTGAATTTTTCCTTGCATTTGCGTTAACAATTTTGATTAAAAATGTTATAATCATATGGTTTAATTAATGTAAGAAAACATACTTGATATATACAAAAACTAGCTAAAAGCAAACAAGAATGCATATATTGAATTTTTTTAATGACAATACCTTGATTTGACCATCGAGTCCGGCTCCTAAAATGGCCCGGTCGATATTTTCCATGGCTGGGACAAGGAACTGTGAGTAAGAGTCAGAGATCTTCACTTCGTTACCAACAGATACGTAACGGAACTTGACGTCATCCACGTAGCTAATGACGTTGGTTTGCACCCACTTCTCTGCTTCTGATTGGCTGGAGGCCACGCGTTGTAGTTCCGGGTTAGGAAGGCCCAACATTACTTCGATGTCGGAGCCACGTAAGGCGGCGAGAACGTCATGGTCGGGACTGTATAGTCTGACTCGCTTGATGTTTTTCTGTTTGAAGAGCTCAACGGTTTCTGCCGGCGACGGGAGATTGTCGCCGTACCTTCCGTAGCAAACGCCGACTTGTCCAGCTGTTAAAAAATTAATCAACATTACTAAATTAATATATATATTAATAAGGAAAACATGTTACAAAATTCTTCGATCCATTATTTTACATATAATAAACAGATATGTATGATTACTTGAAAAAAAAAGTGTTTTCTTTAATATTTTCAAAGTTTACTATAAAAAACTAAACATAGAACATGCAAGGTTTTTCCCAAACTTAAAAACTTAAATTAGCAAACCGTGTGAATGGTATTCAAATAACTTTTTGATAGTAGATTTAACAAAAGTGGCAAAGGTATGGCATGATTTAATCCATATTACTTATAATAAAGTTATATTAAAACATATTCTTTGTCGATAATAAATATATGACATATTTTCTGTATTCGTACGTAATGAAATCAAGAGAGATGATGACCTGTGGTATGTGTATTGATGAAGATTATGCCGACAAGAAAGGTTAAGGAAGCCAAAAAACGGAGATCCATGGCTAGCTTGCTTAGGAAGAGCTTTAACCTAATGATATTGTAACGATGTTTAGGTATATAAGAGAGGTCGAATCGTTTATTGTTATTGATATCTTAACATACATATATATAGTAAACTTTATGACGTGTTAGACCCAACAAAAATAGTAAACTCTAGGGGAA